ATATGAGATACTCTGCAATGATAACATAATGTTGATTTTCTCGTATGTGTCCTGGTTATTTAATCCACTAACAAAACTAAGATAAAATCATAGGTAACTTTATTTCTGTAGTAGTTGAAAAACACAATTAAGCATATATGGAATAAATTTTCTTTTAAAACTGTTGCAACAATTTCTAGCCACTAAAGAGAAGGCTTTTGTTATTTTTATTCATGCTTGTACTGTTTGACATTCATTAATAGCATTTGTTCAAATACATTTATTACAGAACTCCTCTATTTGAATTCAGGCTCCCTGCCAGGTATTGGAATACAATAATGGGCAAGGCAGAAGAATTTACCTGGTAGCAGGGGAGGAAGATGACCATTTTTGCATCAGAATAACTGTATAGTAATGTAGACAGGAAGTAACATGCAAGTATATCTTGAAAGAAAACAACATTATCTCTGTGATTGATATATGAAGTAGTCATCTCAATATGATCAATTATGTTTGGAAAGATAAATTCACTCAAAAATATAAGAATGGACTTTTAGTCTCAGTTCTCTTATTCTAGTCTTTGTGTAATCTTGAAAGTGGCCCAGCCTTTTATGGTATTTTTCTGAGTTGTAAAATGTGGAAAAAGATTATTCACATCTCAAAATTACTATCAGGATTAAATGAAACAATTTGCATAAGATACTGGTCTGCAGTACAGTATTTCAAATAACTCAAGCACACACATAGCTATTTGTAATATATATATATGAAAAAGGCAGATAAAGTCGTAATCTAGGTGATAGAAAAATTATGAAAATACTAAATGATCAATTTTTTGGTAGATTAAAATCTGAACACTGAATGTGTTACGGTGCAATATTTGGTTAATCTTTTCCTTAGAATTTGGAATTTAACATTTTTATTCTTCACCGCAGTGAGAATAAATGAGAAAATGAAATCTCAGGGGAACTTCTTTGATTTCCTGCTTCAGATCTTTTCTCTGTGTTAGGGATCTATATTGCATAGTCTTCCTTTGATCTCTATCTGAAAAGGCCACTGAAAACAGGTAGAAAGTTTGGTATGAAAAGTGCTATATGGACACATACCAAAGTTTAAAGCAGAATGTAATAAAGATATTCCAGGTATATTACAACTATGTCGTCCAATTAATATTTTTAAAAAGACTAATAATAGGTCTCCTTATATATTCATCCTCTCCCATTATACATTGGTATTAGATTTATAATTATATAAGATTTAGCCCAAAGATTAAAGGTCAAAAGTAGATATAGAAAGCATCTAATGGAGAATATTAGATACCAATATTTTAAAATAACCTTTAACAATGATAGAAAAATGAAATAATCCTGTGTAAAATGGATCAAAATTAAAAACACAAATTCCACAGAAAATGATGCAAATATCCAACTGACATATAAAAAGTCTTTATTTAATTAGGGAAAAGCTTATCAAAAATACTACAATATCAATGAATAGTTTGGAAAATCAAACAATGTAATTGTATCCAGTGCCTGTTAAAGCAGGGCACATGGGAGTCCTCATACGTTACTGGTGGAACTGTAAAATGCTATAGTGTTTAGAAACATTATCCAGAAGCATATTTTTAAATTAAATTAAATGTGCTTATTATATGCTCAAGCAAGTAATATTACTTTTGGAAAATTATTCTGCAGAAATAAATTTAACTGCAAACATAGAATAAACAGTCACATAAAAACAAATGCACCATATTTCGTGATAATTAAAAACTAGAATTCTCATATATAGGAAAATTATTGAAATGTATTATATAACCATATAATGAATTAATATCAGTAAAATATGGGTTAATTTTTAAAAAATAGTTACTATATGCCTCCTGTTTTCAATAGACCCACTATTTAGGGTCTTGATTATACAATAATGATTAAAATAAGTGGTTGAACTGTAAGGCTGTACCAATACTGGCTACTGTGAAAGCATGAAATATCTCATTGCCACAGTCATAGGGGGATTCACGCCTACTTTCAGGCTCTGCTCCAATGACCTCCGCTAGGTGCTCATGAGAAAGAATGAAGCTGGGGGCAGGTAGTGAGATTGGAAAAAGTTGCTTCCACAGAGCTGTACTGGAGAAGGGGAGCAGCTGCTACTGCAGAAAGAAGGAGAAAGTCTTGTTTACGTCATGTTTCTTCCAAGGAGCAAAAGCCTTAAACTGCTGGGACAGGAGCAACAATATTGTTATTCCGAGAGAACAGGATAATTTTGGCTATAGCTGGAGACAAAGGAAAAGAAAAAAGTCCTCTACCCCTGGGAAAGGGAAAAAATATGTATCTGCCAAGAGAATCAGAAGCCTCTTAGTGATATGAAAGTGGCAGAAACCCTGATGAAACCCCACATCTGAGACTTAGTAACACAGGATCTGCCAAGACTGAGACTAAAACTGGACATCAGAGAAAATTCACCTTCTTCAACCCCCACCAGGTTAGCCAGCACTAATTAACAAACAATAGCAATCTATAGCTGTGGGAGGGAAAAAAGAGCATGGAATGATGTCCTCTAGGTACAAGCACATAATGAAGACCTAAATCTAAGCATAGACCAAGGAAATCCTTTGGAAAACCACAGCCCACATTAAGCACGTGGTGACACTGAAGATATTTGAAGGTAATAATGCAAGGAAGACAAAGACAAAATCCCAAAACTGCTCAACTTCTGAGTAGTGGGACAAAATAACTGGGATCCATATGTTAAAGTTGCTAGGAGGGCAACACACATAAACACATGAGAAATTTCAGAACAGAGATGGAAAGTATAAGGAAAAGAAAAATTGAAATGTGAAATACAAAAATCATGGCACCATCACAGTAAAAAATACCACAATTTATCAACATGTAAATCTGCAAAACTAGGAATTATCTTCTATTTTCATCCTTACCAATTTAGATCTCAAATCTGTCCAAGTGTTTCCATTTATATTACCAAAACCTTGGTAACCAGTTACTATTATTTTTTGCCTAAACCAAGAGTCAAGAGACATTTTCTAGAAAGATGTATACAATAAATATTTAGGCTTAGTAGATCATTGGATCTTTGTGGCAACTATTTAATTCTGCCATTAGAGTGAAAAAAGCAGTCATATACAATATACACAAAAGTGAGGATGGCTACTTCTACAGTTTGAATGTGCCCCCCAAAATTCTTAATTTGGAAATTTCGTTGCCATTGTGGCAGTTTTAAGAGATAGAGCTTATTGGAGGCTATTAGTTCCTAAAGACCTCATCTTCCTTTTTTTTTTTTTTATTTTGAGACAGAGTCTCGCTCTGTCGCCCCGGCTGGAGTGCAGTGGCCTGATCTAGGCTCACTGCAAGCTCCGTCTCCTGGGTTCACGCCATTCTCCTGCCTCAGCCTCCCGAGTAGCTGGGACTACAGGCACCCATCACCACGCCTGGCTAATTTTTTGTATTTTTAGTAGAGACAGGATTTCACCATATTAGCCAGGATGGTCTCGATCTCCTGACCTCATGATCTGCCCGCCTCAGCCTCCCAAAGTGCTGGGATTACAGGTGTGAGCCAACGAGCCCGGCGGACCTCATCTTCCTAAATAGGCAAATGTCATTTTTTCAAAACTGGGTCTGTTGTCTTGGGAATTGATCGTCTTTTCCTCTCTGTTTCACGTACTCTTGCCCTCTCTCATTCTCTCTCACCTGTCCATTTTCTGCCCCTCCACTATGGGTTGACCCTTACCATTTGCCAACACCAAATGCTAAGAAACTCTTGGACTTCCCAGCACCCAAAAGCACTGGCCAAATAAACTTCTGTTATTTATAGATTGCCTACTCTGTAGTGTTCTCTTATAGCAGCAGAAAACAGGCTGAGATGGCTACATTCCAATATAATATTATTTACACAAACAGTCAGTGTGTCAGATTTAAGCTACAGATCGTCACTGGTGACCCTTGGCCTAAGCTAAAATGTCCTGTAATGTGTACCCCACAGAACTGCAGATCTTTATTTATAAAATATAAATCTGATACTGTCCTTTTCTCATTTGAAATACATCAGTGGTTTTTCATATACACTATAGTGGACAAAATAAAGCTTCTTAAATTTCTACCGTATATTTCCAATTTACTATGATTTTGTATATCACTGTATTAAAGAAATTGTCTTTGGGCCGGGCGCGGTGGCTCAAGCCTGTAATCCCAGCACTCTGGGAGGCCGAGGCGGGCGGATCACGAGGTCAGGAGATCGAGACCATCCTGGCTAACACGGTGAAACCCCGTCTCTACTAAAAAAATACAAAAAACTAGCCGGGCGAGGTGGCGGGCGCCTGTAGTCCCAGCTATTCGGGAGGCTGAGGCAGGAGAATGGCGTAAACCCGGGAGGCGGAGCTTGCAGTGAGCTGAGATCCGGCCACTGCACTCCAGCCCGGGCGACAGAGCGAGACTCTGTCTCAAAAAAAAAAAAAAAAAAAAAAAAAAATTGTCTTTGTACAACTAAATCCAAATGTGGTCTCCCTAGGTATTCTTGTTTCTCAGAAAAATGCTTCCCACATAATGCACAGCACAACCCATCACACTATTATCATTTGTTTATTTCTCTCTATTTTTGTTTTCACCATTCTAAGACAAGGTGCAAGAGTGGAGGGATTAGGACTAACTGTACATCCCTGGCATCTTCAGTTTCAAATACGTGCTCAGTGAACATTTGTTGAATGCATGAGCGCATGAATGAACTGCAAAGAATAAGAGATGACAAGTTGAGTGTCATGACATGCTAGGGACTGACAACTAGATGATAGATCTTCAAATCTCTCACACAAACAAATGTGACTTGGGGTAAAGCTCTCAGAGCTATCATCAGTTTAGAAAACATTTGCTCTATCCTTGTCACATACATTGTTTCACTTTTTTTGAGAAAAAAATACTGGAGTAAACTTCGAAGTGTTGCAATGATGCAAGATTTTAAGCATTTGTTTTTTGATCTGTTGTATTTTTCTCTTCATTTCTCATGTAATTAAGGATTTTAAATGCCATTTTGGCACAGAATGTCAGAGCACAAGTGTGGTGAAGAGGACTCTGTGTCAGGAAGAGGGTGGAAGAGATATGACATTGGTTAAACAGAGAATTGGTGAAATAAGAAAATAAGTTGAAAAAATAAAACAAAACCAGGTGACAAATTTCTCAAAGCCAGAGAAAGGATTAAAAGTATGGAATGGAATTAAACAGGTATGAAGCCTCATGATTAAACTGGATGTATCAGTAATGAAATCATGGAATCTAAAAAAAAAATCAATATAAATGTGTATGTATACATATATGGAGAGAGAGACAGACAAACGGACAGACAGAGGAAGGGGCCAAGCAATGGGTACAAGTGACACCCTAATCACAATGAGGACATTGAGTCCCCAGATCTTGGTTCTCAATAACATGCTCCATTGAGAAGAATGAGGGCTGATTCTGGGGCTGGCACAGAAAAATTACAAGATGATCCTGGAATATATATTGTTAAAAATTAAGACAATGTTAAAGGTAATAAGGTCATCCTGAAAGATTAAATTGTTGTCAGTTTGAGAATTTAATTAATTAATGGCAAAACTGATTACTACTCATTGAATCAAAGAGAAAAACATGAGCCCACATTGTTATAAATAAATAAATGCATATATTGAAAGATTAATTAGAAACATAGTTTCAAAATAGACTCCTCTAAAATACCTAAGAATGGTAAATTTATAGAGCATTTCTTTACAGTAGAGAAACCTAGCTAGCTCTTTCTTAATCAAGTGATCAATGTAAATATCATCAGGCCAAATCAAAAACATGTATCACCTGAGAGCATGTAAAGAGAATACAGCATCTCTTTGTGATATTTTCACTAAACATGCATACCTTGAGTCTAACCATGAGAAAAGAGAAGACAAATACAAGGTGAGGGATATACTACAAAGTAACAGACTTATAATCATCAAAGTGTGAAGGTCATGTATGTCAAAACAAAAGGTAGAAGATGTTCTATATTGAAAGAGTATAAACATGTCAACTGTATGGAATGTTTCACTGTAAAGTGGATCAGTTGCTAGAAAGGACATTATTGAAATAGTCACTGAAACTTAAATAGGGTCTAGGGAGTCAACAGTAGTGATGTATTAATGTTGGTTTTCTTTCTTTATTTATTTATTTTTTATTTTTTTGGAGTCAGAATCTCACTCTATCCCAGGTTGGAGTGCAATGTCGCCTAGGCTGGTGCGATCTCAGCTCACTGCAACCTCAGCCTTCCAGGTTCAAATGATTCTCCTGCCTCTGAGTAGCTGGGATTATATGTGTAAGTCATCACACCTGGATAGCTTTTGTATTTTTAGTAGAGACGAGGTGCCACCATGTTAAATAGTCTGGTCTCAAACTCCGGACCTTACGTGATCCACCTGCCTCGGCTTCACAAAATGCTGGGATTACAGGCATGAACCACTATGCATGGCCTTAATGTTGGTTTTCTGATACTACTGATTGTATTGTGGTCATTCAGTATAGGAATTTTATTTGTGGAAAATACAAACTAAAGTTGGGTGATGGGTCTTTATGGTGGCAACCCACACTTAAATGGTTCCAGGGGAAAATGTCTTTGTATTGTTTTTACCTTTTCCCTAAATTAGTGGTTGATTCAATCTTTTTAAATCATCAAAGTATATAAAAGTCAAAAGATAATAAAAAAGATTAATGAATTTGGCAGAAATTCTGTGGTATAAATTAATTTGCAGGGGTTTCATTCAAAAATGATGCAGAGCAAAATAACTTTAATTTGTCTAAGAGGACAGGATGGTGGACTGTTCTCATATTGTGTGACACAAGAGAGTTTGTAATGAGGATGGAGGAGCTTGTACTCATCTGTAATGTAGAACAAATTCCATGGTTTAGTTTTGACTTCAAGCAACATAAAATGGATGTTTTAGTCCATTTCCTTGCTGCTGATAAAGACATAACCAAGACTGGGAAGAAAAGGAGGTTTAATTAGACTTACAGTTCCACATGGCTGGGGAGGCCTCAGAATCATGGTGGGAGGCAAAACGCACTTCTTTCATGGTGGTAGCAAGAGAATAAAATGAAGAAGAAGCAAAAGTGGAAACCCATGATAAACCCATCAAATCTCATGAGACTTGTTCACTCTCAGGAGAATAGCGTGGGAAAGACCAGTCCCATGATTTAATTACCGACACCCCCGCCGCCGCCGGGTCCCTCCTACAACAAGAGGGAATTCTGGGAGACACAAAATAGTTTAAATTTGGGTGAGGACACAGTCAAACCATATCAATGGATTTTATCACCTTACACTTTCTACTGCTTATAATTTCCAAATATTTCAATACTTTGCGTTTATTTAATACATATTTGAATTTTAAAAACTGGTATAATAAATTTATCTAATGTAATTTAAGAGATGTGCTTTAAAAATCTCAACAGTGACTATTTTTAAAAGGCAAGTTTGTATTGCTTCTAAAAGATGGTTCACATATTAAAATTATCATAATAAAGATTAATACATTCTATTTATATGTTCACATGTCAGTGTGACTAGTATTACTTAACATTTTGACATCTGATTATATTATTCTGTCATAGTTAAATCTGTAATAATTTCAATATATTTAGGGTCAATTTTATTATTTTTGAAGGAACCATTTTACTTGAAATATTAAAATGAAGAGAAAAACATGATCCAATATGAATAAATTTGCTCAATATTTTGTGACTGAAGCAATAACTTTCCCAATATAATGTATATATTCTTATAATTCTGTCTTAAAATTATCTGATCACCTAAACAAAAAGCAAAACCAATGATTTTAAGATTTTTATTAAACTTAAAATTTGATTAAAAAGAATTCCAGAAAATAATAGGGTTCATGAAAATATAACAATATGAAATAACATATATGAGGCATATAAATGTAAATGGAGTACAAAAGAAGAATTGTTGTCATTTTGTCTCTTTAAAAAGACTTGGGTTTAGCCTCTTCTTTCTACTCCTATTATGTATGACAAGGCTTACCTGATCATGGATAGTCACATGTTTAGCTAAGTCTCTCAGCAGTCCACATTTGGGCATAAATTGTATAAATGGAAGCCAGTTGTGGTGGTTTATCCCTGTAATCCAAGTGCTTTGGGTGGCTGTTGCAAGAGGATTGCTTGAGGCTAGGAGTTCTAAACCAGTCTGGGCAACATGGTGAGACCCCATCTCTATAAAAATTTAAAAAATAGCTAGACTTGATGGCACACCTGTATTCCTAGCTCCTTGGGAGGCTTAAGCGGGGGAAGATCTCCTGAGCCCAAGAGTTCAAGGCTGCAGGGAGCTTTGATTGTGCCACCACACTCCAGCCTGAGTAACAGAGCAAGACTCTGTGTCAAAGAAAATAATTATAATATAATTAGAGATATAATCTTTTCTGTATATTCTTACATGTAAATTTGTCAATGTAATCATTACTTGAGTCATTTATGGAGGTGACATGGTTTGGCTCTGTGTCCCCACCAAAATCTCATTTCAAATTATAATCCCCATGTATTGAGAGAGGGACCTGGTGGGAGGTGATTGGATCATGGTGGCAGTTTCCCCTTGATATTCTCCTGATAGTGAGTGAGTTCTCATGAGATCTGATGGTTTAACAGTGGAACTCTCTTCTTTGCTCTCTCTCTCCTCCTGCCATATTAGATGTGCCTTGCTTCCGCTTTACCTTCTGCCATGATTGTAAGTTTTCTGAGGCCTCCCCAGTCATGTAGAACTGTGAGTTAATTAAACCTCTTTTCTTTTAAAATTACCCAATCTCAGGTAGTTCCTCATAGCAGTGTGAAAATGGACTAATATAAGGTATTGGTACTGAGGTAGTAGGGCATTGCAATAAAAATACCTGAGAATGTGAAAGTGACTTTGGAACTGGGTAACCAGCACAGGTTGGGACAGTTTAGAGGGCTCAGAAAAAGAGAGAAAGATGAAGGAAAGTTTGGAACTTCTTAGAAACTTGTTGAATGACTTTGACCAAAATACTGGTAGTGATATGGACAATAAAATCCAGGCTGAGGTGGTCTCACATGGAGATAAAGAACTTGTTAGGAACTAGAGTACAAGTGACTCTTGCCATGCCTTAGCAAAAAGACTAGCAGCATTTTTCCCCTTCCCTAGAGATCTGGGGAACTTTGAACTTAAGAGATATGATTCAGTCAGCATATCTCACATAAAAAAATGTAAAAGCAACAAAGCATTCAAAATGTGACCTGACTTTTTCTAAAAGCATACAGTCACATGTGTTCAAGAAGAATTGTTTAAAATTGGAGCTTATGCTTAAAAGAGAATTAGAGCATAAAGGTTTGGAAAATTTGCCGCTTGACCATGTGGTAGGAAAGAAAAAAACATTTTCTGGGGAGGAAATCAAGGCTGCAGAAATTTCCATAAATAACAAGAAAAAAATGGTAATAGCCAAGACAATGGGGAAAATGTCTTCTGAGTTTTTCAGAGATCTTCCAGGAAACTTCTCCCATCACAGGCCCGGAGGTCTAGGAGGAAAAAAAAAAATGGTTTCATGGGCCAGGCTCTGGTTGCTCTGTGTAATCTTGGGACAAGGCACCCGGCATCCCACTGCTCCAACTCTAGTAGTGGCCAAAAGGGGCCAAAGTAAAGCTCAGGCTGTTGGTTCAGTGAATGCAATTCTTGGCGGCTCCCATGTGCTGTTAGCCCTGTGGGTATCCAGAAGATTAGAGTTGATTTTTGGGAGAGTCTGCCTAGATTTCAGAGGATGTATGAAATGCCTGGGTGTCCAGGCAGAAGTCTGCTGCAAGGATGATGCCCTTATGGAGAACCTCTCCAAGGGCAATGCAGAGTGGAAATGTGGGGTTGGAGCCCACATTCACTGTCCAGTGAAGCTCTGAGAAGAGGGCCACCATCCTCTAGACCTCAGAATGGCAGATTCACTGACAGCTAGCACCATGTGTCTGGAAAAGCCACAGGCACTCAATGCCAGCCCAAGAAAGCAACTGTGGGGGTTGTACTCTGAAGAGTAAAAATAATCTTCTTTGACTTATTTCTCACAAGGACAGAGCTGTCCAAGATGTTGGGAGCCCACCTCTCACATTAGTGTGCCCTGGATGTGAGACTTAGAGTCAAAGAGAATTTTTTTGGAACTTTAAGATTTAATGAATGCTCTATTGGTTTCAGACTTGCATGGGGCCTATGGCCTCTTTGTTTTGGCCAAGTTCTCACATTTGGAACAAGAGCATTTACTCAATGTTTGTACTCTCATTTTGTCTTGAGAGTAACTAACTTGTTTTTGATTTTACAGGCTCATAGGTGGAAGGGACGTGCCTTGTCTCAAATGAGACTTTGGATT